GTTGAAGTACTTTAAATAAATGATTTCATTACATCTTCACAATACTTTACCAAGCATATTATATAATTGATTTCATTTTAAAAATACAGAAAGCAAAGAGAAGTTAACCTATTTGCCCATGATCACATGCTATACACTTAAACCTTATTCATGTGGCAGTGATTCATACAATTAAAGAGAAGCTTTTCTTCTGAATTTCCTTACAGTGACCAAAAGAATCGTCCTCCAGGGGTTACCTTAGAGGGGTTTTGAGTGTTTATTTGAGAAACTTCAGGGTAACTTCTGCTTTTTTTGTTTGTTTGTTAGTTTTTCAGTCGCATGTCTAAAAGAGGCATGTTGGTAGCTGATGGCTGAGATTTGGACCTACGTATTTCCCCATTAGCAAATAATGACACAACGACATTTTCCATGTTCGCTACTATGTACAGGCAGTCTGTCTCAGAGGTCACAAAATAGATGTTCATATGAAGATGCTCAAAACACATGGTCTGTTTCATTGTTTTAAAACACACAGTAAGAAGAAAAAGGAAAAAGATGGAATAATTTAGCGCACCATTATAGGGCTATCATAAGTGAACTTGGGCTTGAAAGGGTCTTTTCTTTCTCAAAATGATGGGCACAGTTTGGTCCAAGAATTACAACATAGGCTGAGGGTAGAATTCCTTTCTAAATTTGTTTCCAAGAAAATAGATGAACATTTTCCAAATACTAAGTTTTGCAATACTCTTATGTCCTGTTTTTCTCTTTCCCCCAATTAGTGTGCTCCACTTACAGTAGTTACAAGGACTAGGGTTGAAAATGACCAAGGGATCTCAGCTGGTAGAAGGTGTCTAGAACCAATACACAGATCCTCTGAACAACTAGCCATATCTAATGCTCATTGATAGGAAAGTCTTTTCAGATTGGACATGACATGTTTTGAGGATATTATTATCACTTCAAATTATTGAGGTGTCTTAACTATTGAGAAGGCTAAATGTAAATGTGGTTGATGGAGATAAAAGAGAAAAATAAAAACAAATACTGATCTTATCTATTTCTTCAAAGCACATGGAAAAAGACATTCCAGGATCTTCTGGAAGAGCAATTTAGTTTTTTTAGTCTCCCATTATTTAGATTTGCTGAAATAAATTACACTTCAGTGTAATTATTTTTGCTGTATTTGGTTTATTAACATAATTTATATTGAAATTTAACAAATTATTTTATGTAAGCCATTTATAAAGAAAGCCTTTATTAAGAAATGTCTTTCATATAAAGTGTTCCTAAGATAGAGATGGAATACACTTGAAATTTTCAATTCGTGTTAAGCTTTTTTTTTAATGAGACTTGATAATCAGAAATTTAAAAAAACACGTATTTCTACTCATTTGTTAGTTGACAGAATAGAGAGAATTTAGTTTTAAATGGGATTACTACCGAAAGAGTCTGAAACAAAACATCTTGGTTTGTTAACATATTTTAAACTCACTTAGCAATAAGTTGGCTTGGGCTTGAAAGGGTCTTTTCTTTCTCACAATGATGGGCACAGTTTGGTCCAAGACTTACCATAGAGGCTGAGGGTAAAATTCCTTTCTAAATTTGTTTCCGAGAAAATAGATGATCATATGCTTTTGGAGATCAACAAAATAAGGAGCTTACATGGCCCATAGTAAAGCATTCTGTTCTGTGAAACACTTTAATGTGAACTGTGACAAGCATGACTCCTATGATGGATATTTGGCGAGGTACGACGATCTTGTCATGCAAACAAGAGCTTATTAACATGGTTTCCTCAACTCCACTTCTCACATCCAAATCCTCTAGGAATTGACACCAACTGTCCATTTTGACACTTGTTCATTAATTTTCTTTCAATAGAACTATTCTCTGCGCTCAGCTGTTGTAGCAATTTAAGATTTTACATACTTTCCTGATATGGCTCTTTGTTGGACATTCCTTCTGTGTTCAGCGGACCAGATAACACCAGAATTCTAATATATGTCACAGAGTCCTTAGTTCAGTTTGCCACTTGTTCCATTACCCACTCTCAAAAAGGGAACTTTAGCTTGACCTCTTAAAAAGTGAAAAGAGCAAAATCAATTAGTTCTCTCTATCAAGACTTAATGGTCATGACAGCAATAAATCCATGACAATACCTCCTTTCCTGACCTGAATCTTTTCACACACCTGTCCTGAGTAAATCCAATAGATCCCTAGTTATAAACTGCTTACAGAAAATCTTTTTTTTTCATTTCGTAGGCGTGTGTGCACACCTGCGTGAGTACACTCATTTCACAGCCATGACTGAAGCACTAACAGATTGCAGGCAACAGATAATGATTATTGTATTCCTTTGTGAAATATGCTCGACTTTGCAAATTTTTATTCATGATCAGAAAGAACCCTCATTTTGAGGACTGAAGGGCATAAAATGAATAATATAAGGAATGACTGCAGATGTGTCTAATATTTGTTTTGTAATAAAATAAAGTTGGACCGTGCAGTGGTATGATTTTTCCATGGCACAATATGCTCTTTTCTTGTGTGTCAGCTTTTGTTTGGGGTTAGTGAGAATCATCACATCACAAAGAAAGAATGCAAGAATCAAGGGTTGCTTTGCCCTTTATCAATCTGTTGTGCTGTTCCTGGAAATGTTTATATTTGACGCTTGCCAAAAGGCAGCAATTGTTTTGTGGTTGCTATGCTTAAAAATGATATAAGTGCAATAAGTGATGCTTGATTGTTTCGACATCCTTTTACTGTTTTGTTCAGATTCGTTAATGTGCTTTAGTCTTTTAGATTTTGAATTATGATGCAATAGCACTAAGAACATATGCTGCCTTTTAGAAAGAACTAAGTCATTTCCAAATATTAATTCTTTAATCTTTAGTATATGATTCTAGAATATCTAGACTTCTTATGTTCCCAAACTTTATTTTTACTTCTTTGAGGATTTGGTATTCTAAATAGTTTTCTAAATCTCTAATAGCAGAAATTTTTCTTTAATCTTATCCATGTCAGTTCACCAAAAAGCTTATTTTTTCCCTACTTTAAAGAAAATCCCAGACTTCTCAATGGAATAAGTTACCTTTGGAAAAGCAAAGTGATGATTAAAATCAGCTTTTGGATATATGATAATACTGTAACACTGTTTTTGGTGGTGATAAGTTACTTAAAGAGTTTTATAAGTACATCATCATAGCAGTAACCTCAGCCACAGGGAAAAAATGAAGCACAATCTTACAAAATCTTATAAGATTAGCATGAAATTTTTCTGAGGGTGCAATAATTTAGATATACCTTCAGAAGTGCACAGCAAGACCTTTATAAGGCTCTGAGACTCTGGGACTTTGAATAGTCTCTTAAAGACAAATAATGGAGAAAGAAACGAATGAGAGTGATAAGGAGGAGGAAGAGGGAGAGTGTGTGCAAGAGCGGGAAAAGCTGTAAGGGGGAAAGTGGAATTGTGAAGCCATTCTGAATTCAGAATTGACCATTAGACTTCTATCAAAGTCAACTCTTTAAAAAAAAAAATCACAGGGTTTTGAAGATCAGCGCTTACTCTGGAATTATTTAAAATGCTTAAAATATTGGGTTGACACAGAAGGCTTTAGGGTAAACTACATCTCCTTTTTAGTGACTTGCTTCCTTGGGAATAAAATTTAGTGGACAAAGCACATAACTCACAAAAAGCTTGGAAGTTCCTGATGTTGTTTCCTAAGTTCTTCTACTTCAAAATTCAATCTATAAGGAAATATTCATAAAAAGACTATTTGCGGAGTGTAGATCATCAAAGTGTATTCACTTTTCATAGCTTGTACTGATTGTAGTATCTGATTCTATGCTTACATATATCCTAAAATTTATCACATTGCCTTATGGTGCTTATTGTTCATACCACCCATTACATAGGGCAGGAAATAAGCAATAATCAATACAGATTACAGAAGACTATCTGTTTTAAGATAGATACTATGTAATTTTTGTGAGTGAATGAATAACTGATAATAATTGTCAAAACCTTTTATCATCTATGAGAAGGTTATTATTATTATTGTTTTTTGAGATGCAGTTTCACTCTTGTCACCCAGGCTGGAGTACAATGGTGTGATCTCAGCTCACCACAACCTCTACCTCCTGGGTTCAAGCGATTCTCCTGCCTCAGCCTCCTGAGTAGCTGGAATTACAGGCACGTGCCATCACACCCGGCTATTTTTATGTATTTTTAGTAGAGACAGGGCTTCTCCATGTTGGTCAGGCTGGTCTTGAACTCCTGACCTCATGTGATCTGACCACCTTGGCCTCCTAAAGTGCTGGGATTACAGGCATGAGCCATCACACCAGGCCTGAGAATGTTTTGAAATGGCATTTTTCTTATTAGAATTTTAAATTTTGGACAGGGAAAATGTGGCACATATACACCATGGAATATTATGCAGCCATCAAAAACGATGAGTTTGTGTCCTTTGTAGGGACATGGATAAACCTGGAAACCATCATTCTCAGCAAACTGACACAAGAGCAGAAAATCAAACACCGCATGTTCTCACTCATAGGCAGGTGTTGAACAATGAGAACACATGGACACTGGGAGGGGAGCATTACACACTGGGGTCTGTTGGGGGAAAATAGGGGAGGGTCAGCGTGGGGTGGGGAGTTGGGGAGAGATAGCATGGGGAGAAATGCCAGATATAGGTGAAGGGGAGGAAGGCAGCAAATCACACTGCCACGTGTGTACCTTTGCAACAATCTTGCATGTTCTTCACATGTACCCAAAACGTAAAATGCAATTTAAAAAAATTTGAATTTTTATTTCTATTTGATATTTGTTTAAATTTTATGGTGTTTTGCTCAAAAGGTGCATATTTAAATCAGTGCAAGACATAATGCTCATTTACTCTCTTTGAAAGTAATTCTGCCAAAACTTTTGTTTGGGCAGAAGTTCCTGAAACCTTTATGGGACCAAAAGTTCTCTACTCAAAATGCACTTTGTAACAACACTTCTTCTTTTTCTGCAGCTAAAATAGCTAAGCTTTAGACACAAGTCTAGCTGTCACAACCAAATTATAGTACACCAATCAGACCTTCATGCTATTGTTCTATAGGTGAGTATGATTATTTATTGACTGTGTTTTAACAGCAGTGATGGGCTACTTGTTCCTAGTCACCTCGCTCCTGCATACCTGGCCATCTTTGATGTCCTCGGTGTCTGTGTCAATGAGTCATTGTTTCATCTAGCTGGCCTCATAAGTGTGAGGATCTCAAGACGTGGTTACTTTACCTTTGCTCACTCTACAAAAGAGTCATCAGAAGCTAATCTGTGTTGCTACCTTGTCACCTCCCAAACCTTGCTGATTCAGAGTTTGATGGGTAACTGAAGATAGTCAGAGCAGTATGGAACCCCACATGGAAAACTAATCCTTATCTCATCTATTTGTATCCTTCATGTTTCTTCTTTATAAAGCCTTTGATTTGTAGTAATACAAATATTTTAGTTTACCTTAAAATAATTTTGTAAAATATAAGAGGCCTGTGAAATGATCGCATTAGACTATATGGTGCAATTGACATAATCAGGACTCAGGCTTTCTTAAGTAATAATCCTGTGATCAATTTTATCAGAATCCCTGAGGGAACTTGTTCAAATTTGAATTTCAGAGATCCACGGCAGCCCAACTGAACTAGAATATTTCTGTAGATGCTCATAGAAATTTTGATGAGATTAAATGTGTCCAGCCTAATGGTTCTTAAGCCTGGCTGCACAATAGAATCCCCTGCGAAATGGAAAATGATTAAAATGTACAGACACGGCTGAGAACTTTTGGCCTAGCACAATGCCCAACGCCTATTTTATGTTCAATGATTGATAAATGCACTCAAGTTAGATAAAAGAAAAGCCAGCAAGTGATTATAAACCCATCTCTAATTATAATATATGACATAAAAGGCATGAAAGGAAGATTAATGAAATTTCCAATCTAAAATTATTTTTATTTCAAATGGGAATGAACCTTGGCTATTAGTAAGCATAAATTTCTCTCAAATACACAGTTAAATGATTTTATATTAGTAGAAATAAGTGTCATTTAAATTATAAATCACTTTGTCCACTCTATGTAATACAACTCCTTTTCTTACATAAAGCTCTACTTTAAAACATGGGTTCTAGAATACAATGTCAAGAAGAAATAAAACTACAATTCAATTACTGTAAAGTCCAAATTCTCATACAGTGATAGAGATGATAAACATCAGTCTATTTAAATACTAACTGTGAGCCAATTATTATTTAAAGTTCTTTAGGTGTATTAACTCTGTTCACGGTATCCCTAGGAGAGTTAATATCAGCCCCAAATCTTCATATTGTACATTTAAAGTGAAAGCAAACATACAGAAAAGAAATGCTAGGATAGGTCACTTGGCCTCACATATTGTTGTTTTATAAATAATTCTTTGTTGGAATTAAATTTGCATAAACATATCTCAAATTATAATTGTATTTACTTTAGAAGTTAACATAATGACCTTTTCTTGGTGTATTACCACCTACCTTGACATACTAAAGTATGAAGTATTCTATTTCACTGTAATGTCTACTGCTAGATTACATGGCATATTGTTTAAAAATCAGGCTGGACACCATCGCTCATGCCTGTAACCCCAGCACTTTGGGAGACTGAGGCAGACGGATCACGAGGTCAAGAGATCGAGACCATCCTGGCCATCATGGTGAAACCCCAACTCTACTAAAAATACAAAAATTAGCCAGGCATGGTGGTGGGTGCCTGTAGTCCCAGCTACTTGCAGGCTGAGGCGGGAGAATGGCTTGAATTCAGGGGGCAAAGGTTGCAGTGAGCCGAGATCGCGCCACTGCATTCCAGCCTGGTGACAGAGAGAGATTGCGTCTCACATTAAAAAAAAAAAAAAAAGGAAAGAGAAAGAAAAGGAAAAAAAAAATCAAGTAATAAATTCCTGTTTGGTGGAGTTAGATTGAAGTCAGTATGTAAACAGTTCATTAAAGTAAGTATGTAGCATATTTCTTTATAGTTTACCATAACAAATGAAGTGTAGTATTTCAAAAAAAAATTGAGGAAATTGAAAAAAAATGAGACTAATGAAACATGATTTTAAAAATAGTAACTCATTTTCTTAGAAAAGAACCCATAATCATGAAAAACTCAGCAAAACAAGCCTTTTATTACAACTGATTTAATAATGTAGCCAATTTTTGAAAGGATTCACTTATTAAATATTTTTTATAAATTTCATTTAATTCAAGCCCAAGCCTTAAAAGCAAAATGGTCATACATCTAACCAATGCCAAAAATCCCTCAATTATCTCAGTAAGTAACTTCATGAAATCTTGCATTTCTTTTAGTGACCATGACCAGAAAGAAAATGATTGAAAACATTACTCCAAATTGTAAAATAGCTACCCTTTGGTACTAGAATTTAATGTGATATAATTCCATTTTCCTTTTTAGATTTCTCTGACATTTGTACAAATTATATAATAATTTTGTATTTTGTAATGATAAAATAAAATAAATATTTAAGAAAATAAAATACAAGCAGGAATTTAGGTACAAGTAGAAGAAGTGCATCTGGTAAATAAGACAGAATCTTAGTTTCTAGGACTGGGAAACAAGGCCTGCAGTACATTTACAGCAAGATTTTCTAGATGTTGATCTAAGAGTACTGAAGGAATATAATATTCTCCTGGATAAGGACTAAATTCTTTCCAGAGTGAGGCTGAGCTTTATGGTTAGATTGAGTTGCTTCTAAAATATAGAGATGAGGATGTTGGAACAGGAAACCAGGTAGCTTGCTCTCAATAATAAGCTTCAATTACCTGGGAAATTCAGTTATACAAATAAGGACTGTTAAAAGATAAACTGAGACACAATACAAATTTTAGAGTTTATATGAGCAATCAGTGATGCATAAATTGGGGAAATACCAAATTGGAGGATGTCTTGAGCTCTACTAAAGAAATGCAAGTGGAAGGCTTTTATAGCATGAATGTGGAAACAAGAAATTGAAAATAGAGTGGTTACACTTACACAGTTGTCCTATTTGGTCTATTCCATTGCTGGCAGCTTTTGATTTGTTGAACTTTTTTTTTTTTTTTTTTTTTTTTTTTAACGATTCTGGCATTTACAATTAATGTCCCAACTTGTTTTGCTTATATTTGTAGTCTAAGCAAGGTTAAGGTTACTTTCAATGTTAACTGGGTTTGTTTGCTTAGAAATTTTTCAGACTGGTCTACATTTTATTTTAACAAGTCCTTCCTAGTTATAACAGATTATATTATAGGCTATTTTTGTTAAATGTGTTGTACCAGGAAGTAAGATTACTCAAAGTAGTCCATTGTCCTAAAATTCAGGTTTAGTTTCTTGATACACATCTTTGAATTCTTATAAATTGTGAAGAAAATGTAAATGTCTAAATATTAGCGTTGGAGGATTCATTGGACGTTAAACATTGATGAGCTATTATCCTGAGAAGGGTGAAATTATTTATGGACTTTAAAGGGAAACAAGGCCTTGGGACATACTAAGATTTATTTTCTCCATAATCCATTTTGGTTTCTGGTTATGAGGTTATAGCTGACCTGATTCCATTATTTTCGTTGCCTACCATCATTTTTCCATTGGTGGGTGATATTTCCTTGCTATCGAAATCTTATAACACAGACTGTGTTAGAAAAACCTGTATGTTTCATTGAGGTCTTGGTTGCTTCTCATCTCAATAACATATTTTTAACTTTTTTAGATAATAAACTATTTTAATATATTAAAGGGCAGTTTTCCTTTCATCATTTTAATCTTCAGAATTTTGAAACCCATTTCTCAGTTATTCATTCTTCTAGATGAATTTAACAGGCTTTTTTTTTTTCAAATTTGGAACAATAAAATGCTATTAAGATTTTTAAATTAGCACATTAAACCTATGAAGTAATTGGAGAAGAATGATGTTCTTTATAATAGGCCTCTCTTACTTAAAATAATCATATTTTTCATTTCCCTATTTTATAGTTTTCTTCAGAAATGCACCATAAGTTTACCCTCTCAATATTTTATAACAGTTTGGACGTTGTCAGTGAAATAATTTTTCCCATTATATCTTTCAATCATGTTAATTGGTTGCTTATGGTTTTTGCATATTTATTTTGCAGTCACCTGAATTAGAGAATTTTTTATTACTTATATATTTTTTCAGTTTATTTATCTGTATCTTCTAGGTATGCATATAATGGTAATTTTGACTTCTGTTATTTTTGTTTACTTTATTACTGCTTTGGTTAGATTAGTGGTAACACATTTTTGGTATTGATTTTGATGATTCTCTGCCTCTAAAATCTCTTTAGTAGCCTAAATTACTTAAAACATTTAAAAAAATTCATTCATGTACTCACTCACTGAGTTACCGTTTATTTAGTACTCTAAGGCACTGCAAAGGTTATTTATATATGTGTGTGTGTGTGTGTCTGTGTATATTTATCTATATATTCATAATCAGAATATGAGGGGCCATCCAAACCCATCTGGGTCTCTACTCTGCATATCACCCTGAGGAAGTGAGCCACCACTGAGTCTAGATGGTAAGTAGAATCTTGCTCCCTGCTGACCTGCTTCTCTGCCACTTGGACCTGCATGGTGCCAGTTCCTGGATTCTCTTTCGCCTTGCTTCACCTGCCTGTTATGATATGCTACCTCTTGCTAGTCTACTCTCATGTGTCCTAGTTGGGTTCACCACCTGTTGTTCGTTACTGTACTCTCTGGACCTGGTGTCTGCCTCCATGAATGTGCGCATTGGCAGCTGAGTCCAGATCTGCCTCTCCATCTCTACCACCTGTTTCAGCCCTGTGGGATATCTTGTTCCAGCTTTCTTCTGGAACTGCCTTACCCTACCTTTGTAGTCTAATTAGTTTTGATGAGATCTTTTAAAAAATGCATCAAACCCATTTCTATCTCCTTAAACAGTAAATTAATTGAAAGAGAAAAAAATGTTTTCTTAAAGATGCAGAGGCTGATGTTGTAATATTTATTTTTGTTATATCCAGTGGCTATTGAAATATGTTGGATTTCAATAAATGGTCCCAAATTTTTAGGTTTTGAAGGTATATGTGTTGTTTATAAGAAGGTGTGTGTGTGTGTGTTTGTGTGTGTGTGCACGTGCAAAAAATAAGTATATCAGCCATCAATTTTGCAGTTTCTGGATTGCCGTAACCTGGAAAACCAAGTTTGTTGAAGTATCTATAAGAAAAGACTGTTGATAAACTACTTTTTAATAAGTTGCCCAATTATACAGAATTCCTTTTTGTCAGCTTCAGTTGTTTAAAGGCTCTTTGCACACTATCGATTTCTTGGTTACATTCTGGATAACTGATAATCCTGAACAAATGATACATTAATCACTGTATGCCAGTTTTCCCTGCTATTTCACCTTCATTTATCTTTGATCCAGAGGTGTTTGTTTGTTCCCTGACTGCAAGGATATTTTAGCATGTGTGAATTGGTAGGAAAATATACTGTCACACAGACAACATTATTTTACTTCTGCTTAGGCAAATTTTCTTTTTTTCTTTTTTTAAATATTTCTTTATTATTTGTGTGTGTGTGTGTGTGTGTGTGTGTGTGTGTGTGTGTTTTATTGCATTTAGGTTTTGGGGTGCATGTGAAGAACATAGGTACACACATGGCAGCGTGATTTGCTGCCTTTCTCCCCTTCACCAATATCTGGCATTTCTCCCCATGCTATCTCTCCCCAACTCCCCACCCCCCAGTTGAACATATTTGTTTGAGTTTCTGTCATGTGTAAGATGTTATCTAAGCGTTACATGGATAAAATTATGAGAAACGTAGTCCTTGTTTACAAATAGTTGACAATCTAGTAAATGGAGAATGCCAACGGATAAGAACCTGCAAAAACGGCTTCAGAAAGGTTCTAAGAAAGGCATTAGTTATTGCGGGAACTGTAGGAGCCAAAGCATGGTATTTGGGAGCGTGTAGGATGTGTTTTAGTAAGCAATGAATATTCTAATTTGGTCTAGTTCTAGAAACAAAAGAATACTGTGGAAAGGTATTTGTAAAATGTGAGTTTAATTCAAAAGTCAATGAAGGGCTACCAAACAGATCAGTGAAATGATCATTGCTGAGATTTAGATTTAAATCTCAGAGTTTCAGAGCTTGAGATTTAAATCTGGTGACAAAGTGCATAATCAGAGCAAACAAACCACAGAATTTGGTTTGGACCAAATGTATACTGGAGGAGGTAGTGAATCAGAGAAAGAATATAGACCTAGATAGCCAAATACAAAGGCTGGCACTATCACTGACTATGTGACATGAGTAACTGAATTTGCATAAATACTATCCAGAAGCTTTTGTTCTTGAGAGAGGGCTTAGAGTTAATGTGTATATACTACATCCAAGCAGGTAAGATCAGAGATATTATCATATATCTAGTGGCCTCCATGTAACAGAGCAGGGTATGTGGCAAACACTACAGGTTCTGAACCCAGACTTCTTGTATTCAAGTCTAGGCTCTTTCATTTAGTTAATGTATAATCTAGAGAAGTTTATTTAACCTCTTTTTGCTTTGGTTTCCCTATCTGTAAAAGCCATATAATAGCACCTACTTTCAAGAATTGTCATGAAGTTAATGAATTAATATTTGTAAAGTCCCTAGAAGAGTGCCTGTCACACGGACTGTGAATCATTACATGGTAATGATTCAATGAAGAAGGTTATTATTAATTATAGTAAATAAAATAAAAAGTAATATCAATTTTATGTGTATCACAATTATTCATATCACAATTTTAAGCATAATCTTTAACACATACGTAAATAAAACTTCTGATTTAAGAGTCCAGGAAGTCAGTGCTCATCCTGTTAACCATTCATCAACTTTCTGAAGGTAGTACACTCAGACTGATGAAACTAACTCTGTGTTCCAGTGGCAGAGTCCAGCAACTGAATTCATCATATCTTTCATGGCAGTTCACGAGGTTATAAACACTAAGTAAATAGGAGCATAATAAATTCTTTGGAAAGAACTTGGAGCATGTCAAGTTTTATTTTTAATGTTTAAAAGATTGATTGTTGGTGCTTTGGGAATGGAATAAGCAAATTACAGAAGTAAATATTTTTCTCGGTATTGTACTTATTCATATAGAGAGCTTGGATTATTATTATTGTGAAAATAACCCATAAACACTTTATGTCATTTATTTTAATAAATTATTAAAGTTTAAAATTTACCTGTGATTTTTCATTATAAAATTCATCAAACAAAAAAACTATAAAGCATAATATAATAATTTTTTTTACTCATTATTTAATTTTAGCAAATCTGACAATGTTGACAGATAGGCTTCAAATTTTAAAACAAAATTTACAAATGCATTGGAAGCCCTTGCGATTCCCTCACAATCTATCTACATACCTGCATTCCTCCCTTGTCAAGGGGAAACCATGATTCTGATGTGAATTTTTTTTCTCTTTTGGCAAGAATCGCAGTTAGATTCTGATGTGAATTTTTTATAGCTTCATTCATTCCCGTGATTTTATAACTGTACCAAAATGGATGCATCCACAAAAAATGTACTACCTATTGTCTTTTTAAAACATTATACAAATGGCATATAAATATCTCGACTATTTTTTCATTATCCTTCTGTTTAGGAAATTGTATTGGTTTATAACATACATAAAACACAACACAATCATTGTGTGTATACAAGTGTAGGCATTTTACACATGAATATGCCTGTATAACAGCACTCCATTCAAGATAGAGAACACTTTCAACATTCTCAAAATGTTCCCTTTGGTCTATAAAGTCAATTCCCCACATATACCATACTCCAAGTAGTCATCATTTATTCAATTTCTACCACTATGGATTAGTTTGGACTATTCCAGAATTTCATAGAATGGATTCTTATAGTAGGTACTCTCTTGTGTCTGTCTTCTTTCTCTTAGCACATGTTTTTTGAGAATTCTCCCTGCTCTCGTATTAGCAGTTCACTCCTATTTTATTGCCAATTTGTATTTCATTGTTCAAATAGACCGCAACTTGTTTATCCACTCCTGGTGATGGTCATTTGGACCCTCTATTTTTGTCCATTATGAATAAAGCTGCTAAGAACATGAATACAATTTCTTTTCTGAAAGTATATTTTAATTTCTCTTAGGTACATGACTAGGAATGGTACTGTTGGGTAGTATGGTAATAATGGTAATGTGTTTAACTTTATGATAGACTGCCAAACTGTTTTCCACAGCGATTATACCATTTTATACTTCCAGTTCTAGCTGCTCCAAATCCTTACCGATGACTTGATATTTCATTAATTTTAATTTTAATCATCCCACTGGGTGTGTAGTGGTATCTCATGATTTTAATTTGCATTTCCTTGATAACTAATGGTATTGAACATCTTTTGTATTGGTGCTAAATATCATTTGACATATTGGCTGTGTGTGTGTGTTTGTATGTGTGTGTGTGTGTATTTGTATGTGTGTTATACTTTGTAAATATACATATATTCCGGAGATAAGTACCAGGACTTGTATCCTATTACGTGTATTGTGAATATTATCTCTTATTCTTCCAGCCTGTGGCTTGACTTTTCATTTTCATTTTTCTTTCGTTTTTTTGAGACAAGAGTCTCACTCTGTTGCTCAGGCTGGAGTGCAATGGCATTATCACAGCTCACTGCAGCCTTGACCTCTTGGGCTCAAGAAGCAATCCTCCCATCTGAGCCTATCCAGTAGCTGGGACCATAGGCATGTGCCACCACAACTGGCTAATTTCTAAATTTTTTGTAGAGGGGGTTTTCCTGTGTTGTCCACACTGGTCTCGAATTTCTGGGCTCTAGTGATCCTTGCACCTTGGCCTCCCAAAGTACTTGAATTATAGGTGTGAGTCATCATGCCTGGCCTTATTTTCTTAATAGTCTTTTGAAGAGCAAGAAGTTATACTTTGATGAAGGACAATTTATCAAGTTTTACCTTGATGTTTTATTTTGGTTTATATTCTAAGAAACCTTTGCTTATTGAAAGTTCATGAAAAATTTTTCTTACTTTTATCCCCATAAGCTTTATAGTTTTGGCCTTTACATTTAGGTCTGAGATCCATTTCAATTTAATCTTTGTGCGTATTATATGGTATGAAGGTGAAGATTCATGATTTTTCATACAGACATCTAGTTGTTCCAATACTATTTTTGGAAAGACTATATGTTCCCTGTTGAATTACCTTATCATCTTTGTTGAAAACCAATTTGCCATCTGTGTGCAAGTTTATTTTTGGACCTTGTTTTCTGTAAATGAATCTATAGATCTATAGTGTAAATCTTTCATCTGTGTTCTATTTTAAATTGTTGAGTCATTCTAGTCTTTCGCATCATCTCCATATAAACTATAAAACTAGTTCATTAATTTCTTTTAAAAAGCCCTATGGACTTTTTATTGATGTTTCACTGAATCTATAAATAAATATGAAGAGAATTAGCATCATAACAATATTGAGTTTTGAACTTATGAAAGTGAATTTTAGAGAAACTTATTTGAATCTTAATTCCTGTCATGA